GAAATCCCTCAAGCGGTTCCGCGCCGTCGCGCGGTCGTGGCACTCCCTGATCGACAGCGAGCCCTTCGCCAAATCCCACCTCCGCCGCTCCCTATCCACCGCCTCCAACCGCCTCCTCCTATCGGCCTCGAGCTCCTCGCCGTCGATCTGGGCCATCCCGACGGCGCCGTCCCCCTACGCCCGCCGTTCTGTTACAAAACCTCCGATGGGTTCTCCAATTCTTGCAACGGCGTGTCCTCGCCATGTGCGACCCGCCCGTTCTGTACAACCCTTTCTCGAGGGACCACAGGGTGCTCCCCAGTTGCCCCATCGAGCACCGGGCCCCTCTGGAATGCTACCCGCACACCGTATACGGGTTCGGGTACGACCCGACTGCCGACTATTACAAGGTGGTTAGGGTTATTGAGTTCTAGCACGAAGGGAGCTACGCGTGGGTATCATCGGAGGCTAGGGTTTACAGTCTCCGGTCAAATTGCTGGCGGAGGATTGAAGATTTCCCTTACCCACTCTCATTTCTTGATTGGTTCTGGCGCGTGCACGTCAGCGGATCCCTTCATACACTCGTCTTGGATCCCCACGAAAATGAAGGTGGTAAAATCATGTCTTTTAGTGTCCAAACCGAGAAGCATTCTCCGATGAAGCTGCCGCCAGGTGTCCGAATGTGGGGTGCCCACGTCGATCTCTACGTTTTGGATAGCTTTCTTTCGGTGGTTCATTGTAAAAAGTATAACAAGATTGATATTTGGGTGATGAAGGAATATGGGTTGATGACTGACTCTTGGACTAAAGTGGTGGTCGTTAGCCCTCCGGCGATCGACCGGCGAGATTTCCTTAGCCCATTGGTTTATTCGGCGGATGGCGATAAAATCTTGTTGAGCTGCAATGATTTTAAGCTCGTTTGGTTTGATTCGAAGGAAAATAGTGTTTGTGATGTCGATGTTCAGGGTTTGCCTTACAGGTTTTACGCCGAGGTTTGTGTCGAGAGCCTTATTAGGCTCAACGAGCAGGGGAAAGAGACAAAGAGGATAAGGGGAAAAAGGGAGAAGATAGGAAAGAAAAGGGATGATTTCTTGTCTGAAGGATTCAATTTGGTGCTCTAACATGATCAGAAAAAAAGCAGACGAAAAAAAAAAGAAGAAAAAAACAAAAGCAGTAGGATGAATTTATAAAGGTGATGAAGAAGGAAAATTAGCTCACTCGGATTCTTCTGTCAAAAATTTCGAAGTTTACTCTTCAGCCAGCAAGTTTTGGAGATATTGGTACAGATGATAAAGAATGACGATTAACTACAGGTACAAGAGCACTAGTACATAGTTTTAACAACAAACAGAAGAAAACTACACAAATCCCTTTTGTTTTATGGCATGAAATGCTGCTAATGAGGCTAATTTGATTTAGCCATTAGTATATACAATCTTGAAAGACTAAGATGAACTATTTATATACTAAGTCGGTCGAGTTGTAATTGACAAACATATTATGACCTTTTGTGACCAAAAAAAAAAAAAAAAAAAANNNNTCGTCCCAAAACCCTAGACAATGTTTTGGTGCACCAAGATATTGCCCAAAATCTCAAGAAATCGGTAAGTGTTATGTCAAATCGATAGAAAGAGATTCAATTACGAGTTTTGCCAATGATATATCTGGTATCGACTGGCTAGGAACAAAGGAAAATTGGGTTCTTTTGAGGCTGGGCTAAAATTTGGGAGTAGTACTGGATTATTGTTGTGGTCTTTATTTGATATTTTTTGTGAATAAAAAGCAAAATGCTCTGTCACAGTGCATCATTGTAGTTTTTGATAGATTTTTCTTTGATATCTTCTTGCACAAAAAGCAGAATGAATTGTAATTAGTCCATCGTTTTAATTATTGATAGCCTTTTTAAGATGATAGATCATATATATTATTCTAATTATTGATACATAATTTTAATTGTTAAACCAGGAGATATAGGCTTTGCCCTTAATATCTTAAAATAGCTCAATATCTTAAAATAGGCCGACGGCCGATAAAAATAATGGTGGCACTTTACTTGTGGCAATTTTTTTTATTATGTTAAATAAAAATTTTTTTGAACACATTTATTATTTTTGTTCTCAAAATTATTGATTTGTCTCGTACCATTTTATTTTATTCAACTCATATTTCTTTGCAGTTAAAAAAATGGAGTTTTTGTGCTTCAAAAAAGGGTTGTGTTTTGGAGTTCATAACTTTCGTTGCATTGTTACTTGAGTCATTGAGTTTATGAGCTGAATTAATCGTTTGTTGAAGAATAAACAATTTCTTGAACATTTGTTGGTCAAGAAACATGTTTCTTGAGCAAGAAACGAGTTTTTGGCAAGAAACAGGTTTCTTGCTCAAAAAACGGGTTTCTTGAGCAAGAAACTGGTTTCTTGACAAGAAACTCGTTCTTGCTCAAGAAACATGTTCCTTTCCAAGAAACTAGTTTGTTGCTCAAGAAATCTATTTCTTTTAAACAAGAAACTCGTTTCTTGCTCAAGAAACTCGTTTCGTGAGCAAGAAACTCGTTTGTTGATCAAGAAACCTATTTCTTTTGAACAAGAAACCCGTTTCTTACTCAAAAAACTCGTTTGTTGCTCAAGAAACATGTTTATTGAACAAGAAATGTGTTTTGTATTCATATATTTTTGTCCAAACACATCTGAAGTTAAAAAAAGTTGAAGAAAATATTTGTACTGAAATTTTCTTTTTTATTTATTTATTTTTTCAGATGGACGTTGGTAAAGTGCGAATTGATGGAAACTGGTTTCTTGACAACAAACCCGTTTCTTGCTCAAGAAACCTGTTTCTTGGTAAGAAACCCGTTTCATGAGCAAAAAACATGTTTCTTTCCAAGAAACTAGTTTGTTGCTCAAGAAACTTTTTTCTTTTAAACAAGAAACTCGTTTCTTGCTCAAAAAACCCGTTTCGTGAGCAAGAAACATATTTCTTTCCAAGAAACTCGTTTGTTGCTCAAGAAACCTATTTCTTTTGAACAAGAAACCCGTTTCTTGCTCAAAAAACTCGTTTGTTGCTCAAGAAACATGTTTATTGAACAAGAAAATGTGTCTTATATTCATATATTTTTGTCCAAACACATCTAAAGGTAAAAAAAAAAAAAAGTTGAAGAAAATATTTGTACTAAAATTTTCTTTTTTATTCATTTATTTTTTCAGATGGACGTTGGTAAAGTGCGAATTGATGGAAACTGGTTTCTTGACAAGAAACCAGTTTCTTGCTCAGAAACTCGTTTCTTGAGCAAAAAACATGTTTCTTTCCAAGAAACTAGTTTGTTGCTCAAGAAACTTATTTCTTTTAAACAAGAAACTCGTTTCTTGCTCAAAAAACTCGTTTCGTGAGCAAGAAACATGTTTCTTTCCAAGAAACTCGTTTGTTGCTCAAGAAACCTATTTCTTTTGAACAAGAAACCCGTTTCTTGCTCAAAAAACTCGTTTGTTGCTCAAAAAACATGTTTATTGAACAAGAAAATGTGTCTTGTATTCATATATTTTTGTCCAAACACATCTGAAGGTAAAAAAAGTTGAAGAAAATATTTGTACTAAAATTTTCTTTTTTATTCATTTATTTTTTCTGATGGACGTTGGTAAAGTGCGAATTGATGGATTATAAAACCGAAGCGGACCAAATGAAAGCTTCAAATATCAATCACTACGTTTACCACGTGAAAGACGAGGTCAAGAATTTTGTCGTCAATGTGAAGGATCGGACTTGCACTTGTTATCTCGACTAACATCCACTAACTACATGTATATTAAAGTTATTATTGGTTAGTTACATAATTGGTTTTACCTGTACGTGAAGTGAACAAATATTATTAATTGTCAACATGGACTCTATACATGAACATAAGGCAGCACACACCCCATAAACCGAATTAATTGTAGGTGATGAAGTGACTATTTCAATTTTCTATTTTCCTCGACCGTTCTCACAATGTATAGTCATGTCTAAACATGCCCTTAAGTCGTGTGAGTGGGAATCTCCCCTTGATTGTCCAGTGGCATGTACTCGCCATGATTGCCCGAATCTCAGAGTCCATGTATCGCTGCATAAAACAGTCGATGCCACAATTATTCTTCACAAAGAAATGAAAAGACAAACATTACGAATACAAGAAATAAAATCCCTAAGGACAATATCAATTAACTCGATTATCATTTTTTGTTAACCAAAAAGCATACACTATCTATTGAGATAATTTTATAAACCAAAACCGTGTGAAGGTTTAAACAGGAAGGAAAAAAACATCTGTCAAACATCCGTCGCTTTAAAATGCCAAGGAATTCATTGTTTTGACTTTTATCCACAAGTGCCTTTTTACGAGAATACTTTTGAGTCGCACGGGTTTAAAGCAGCTTAAGGATCAATGAATCACATTTTTAAACAAAAATGCACACATGAAGTAGGCCTGTAAACGAACAGAGTCGAAGTTGAGATTAGGGTGCTCGAGCCCTTAACGAGCCGAACAGAGTTCGACTCGTTAAATAAACGAGTTCCAGCTCGGCTCATTAAGGCCTCAAGCTCGAGCCAATTTAACGAGGAGAACTATAAAAAATTATACAAAATTCTCAGAACCTTGAATATTAGGCTAAATCTCAGTAATGAATACTAAACCCTTGGGTGCAAGTAGCTACACGTGTCATCCCGAAAAAAAAAAAATAAATAAATAAAAAAAAAGAGAAGAGAAAAAGAATGAATGAATGAATACTAAACCCTTGGGTGCAAGTAGCTACACGTGTCATCCGAAAAAAAAAGAAAGAAAAAGAATGAATGAATGAATGAAAGAAAGAAAGGAGATTCTATTTATACCTTCTTATCAATGTTTGTGCAGTAGACTATCCTGGCGCACATTTCGCGTTCATCCTCTGACTGTAATATCCCAAATTTTGGAGTTAAAGATACAGAATTAAATCAGTCCACATATATAAGCATGTAAAAAGCAAGGCACGTGCAAAAATATTACTTTGTTGAGGGATTAAGAGCTGAATAATGATAGAAAAAAAAAGGAAAGGAAAGAAAACATTTAATAGCTTTAAATGATTTCTTTTTACCCTGGGAAGAAAAGACGGGTTCACAGGCACTCGAAGGCAAAACTTTCACGGGGGAGAAACCCAAAAGTGTCCCGTTAAGATTAAGAGCAGCTCTAGCAGAATCTGTTGGCATAATATCACATAAGATATGATATGAAGCATATTAATGCCAACCTAAGAAATAAAAGGATGAGATGATAAAAAAAAAAAGGCGTACAGTCATCGGCAAATTCCACAAATGCAAAGCGAAGATGAGAGTGTGGATCCCCACAAACTCTACAGTCAACAACCTGAAAAAGGTAAATAGACAATAAATAAAAACGAGATATTTCAAGGCAATATTATATAAATGTCTCCTAAAATATTCTAACGGAAGTACATTGTAAATTAACAAATAACATTTATGGTTAATTATAGCAACACATCCCGAGGGATATCAATATTGGATAAAAAACTTCAGTCATTCTTCAAATTATTGATACCACAAATTCATTTTATTCCTTATATAAACCGAAAGAATTGAAGACTCTAAGTTATAGACATTGCACCATATATTCATGAAAGAGATGGTACAATAACTTACCAGTCCATAGCCACTGAATAATGCAGCTAGCTGCTCCTCGGTGATCTAGTTTTATAAGATAAAAAAAAATAAAAAAAAATATGAATTTAAATTCATGAATATGATAATATGACCAAATCTTCACATAGTTCAGTACATTGTGATTAATGTCTGAAACATAGACAATTCGTCTAATACTGTCTTCTCTCTGAGATCTAGAAGCTCTGCCACCCATTCTATTCTTAACCTGGTTATAGTTATTCCTTCTCTGTGGAAAAAAGTTAAAAGAACAGTTTAAAACAGCATTAACAAGCTTTTAAAAGTTAAAACAATATTTGAAGTCATATTATGTGACGAGCATCAACTAATAAATCGGATTACCAATTAAGATACCCAAATAAACAGAAATTTACATAATCTGTGGTTCTTACATAGATCGACATTGAGATTCACACATGTAAGAGCATTTATATACAACACCAGAAATTGAATTAGTAAATCCTTATGTAAGTGCATTTATATAAATAAAACAATACAATATATGGCATTTTTCATCTCCAAAAAAGGATTTTTCCTCAAGCACAAACGAGAAACAATAATTCAAGTTCTCGTAATCCATCAACAAACGAATGAATATTATTACC